CAGTGAGACTCTGTCTCAAAAAAAAAAAAAAAAGAAAAAAAAGAAAAAGAAAAAATATAGTGGCTGTTTTTTAATTTAAAAACATTCAGTGATTAGCTTTCTGTACAAAGGTACCATGCTCTAGCACCAAGAGAGAGAAATATATAAGAGGCTCTATTCAGATGGAGTTCACATTCCGAGAGAGAGGGAGGAGGAGGGAGAATCAGTTGGTGGCTTGGTTGGGTTAGCACATGTTGGGTGGATTGGAGGAAGCCTTTAGAGTGGGTGACATTCGAATGACTCCAGAGATTGGCTGTAAGCTGAAAATTAGGGATGGGGGTGTGGTTGACAGGCAGTGGAAATTCGTGATCTGGAATGAAAGCAGCATCAAAGTCTAGGATATCGCCGAGGAGCAGGGAGAGGTCTGGGGTGACTGGAATATAGGGGGTTTGTCAGAGAGTCATACTCCCTAGGTAAGCTGGTCCTGGAAGAATTGGTTCTCTTTAAAGAGGGTCTATGCTGGGATTAGAGCAAGGGGCTGCCTTACAAGGTATGTTTGGGGAACAGACATGACTGCTATCAAGTAGAATGCGTGTGGCAGGCCTGCGGGGGTGCGGGGGCAGCCTGGTGATTTCTAGAGACTAGGTCTGTACTAGATTATGGGGGAATTTTAACGCCAAAGCAAAGATTTAGAGTTTGTTCCACAGCAGTCGAAGAGCCGTCAAATGCTTGTTATTTTAAAATACGGATGATGACGTGAGAACCAGGGCTTCGGATCGGGTTTCTTTTCATGAGAAGGCCGAATCAGAGGGACAAGACGTGGGGGAGGCAGGGAGACCAGTAGGCTCTTGTCAGAGGAAGTAAGAGGAGACGTCACAAGAGAGCAGAGGCCAGGAAAGAGGGTGGGGGAGGGTGGCCGTCATCAGGGCTAGCATTTCTAAAGTTACGTACAGTCTAGCTAGACCGTTAAATGTTTTCCCATTGTTCGAAGGGCATTGGGCGAAAAGATTCAGTAGATTTCCTAGAAGCATGTCTATGAAGACAAAAGTGTCTTTATAGTTCTTATTTTCATTATTTACTGTATGTCGTCCATGAGGCTTGGGGATGGCCTGTGTCGCTGACAGGCAAGAAGCCCGCTTTTGCTTTATGCACCGGCTACAACTGCGCTTCCTTCAGTCTCCACCTGTGATTTCTCTCCCAGCGAATGCACGTTAACCCCTTTGGCGCCAGTGCTGATGGTTGAGGATATGTCTTCATGGGGATTAAGTGGGCCAGTCAGATTATAAAATGCTCTCAGCAGGTAGAGCTGACATCTGTAATTGGCTTTTCGCATCCTTGACATTTGAAATGAGAAATAAAAATCATCTTTTTTGGGTTTACATGCCAAGGCACTCCCAGCAGAGTAGGCTGAGAATAAAGTAAATGCTGTTTTGGGTACCTGGTAATCTTTTAATTATGAAATAAGCCTTTTGATTTTAATCTTCCAAAATGCACGCTACTGATCCAGGAAAACAGCCCTTTGAAAGTTCACATCCTGCTGACTCTTTCAGATGAAAAGCCTCTACCTCTACCCCATATTTTGCAAGCCGAAAGTAAAAATATCATTAATCTTGTCTCAGTTCCACCGCTGCCTATAAAAATCTGTTCGGCTTGGAGTCAGTCCTGAGCCGTGGTGGAGAAGGCAGCCCAGAGCGAATGCTCGTGTTTCCAGAGCCAGGACCCGCGGTGACTGGAGGGTCGCAGCTGATTGACGAGGCCTGAGTCTAGGAGTAGTGGGTTCAGGGACCTAAGCCGTCGTTAAACCGCAGCCCTTGTCATCGCTTCTTCCTAGACCTGTCCTCGCCTCCCTTCACACATGTACGTATGCACAGCGAAGCTTGGATACATACTGATAAATTTTACTGTTTTGGTTCTTTTGCGGCATCTGAAACAGTTTGTACAATGATGACAGAAACCTGCTTCGAATTAGAGAGAAGGAAAGACGAAACCAGGAAGCTCACCAAGAAAAAGAGGCATTTCCTGAAAAGATCCCCCTCTTTGGAGAGCCCTACAAGGTATTTACTGTATACTAGAAGGTGAACATCTGATTTATCGCCATACTGAACTCTGATGAAACGATTCGGTGTAATTGAGTTGGAACAAGGATCACAGCTGTGAAAATAGGATAACTGATTTTAGAAATTGCTTTTGAAAACAAAATATGAAAATTCTTTGAACGTTGTTAGAATTGCCAAAGTTTGTGGTTTTCTTTTGTAATGTTAGTCTCCTATGATTAGTAATATGTCTCCATGACAGGCTTTTCAACAGAGGAATTGAGTTAAAACTGCACATTAAATTCTATGTTACACATTAAATTGAGAATTTTTTTCCCTTGATGTGTTATGTAACATAGTTTATTAAATGATAATTTTCCTTAAATTTTTTTTAAAAAAAATATTATTCTCTAACTCTGCTGTCTTTTTTTCCAGACAGCAAAAGGTGATGAGCTGTCTAGTCGAATACAGAATATGTTGGGAAACTATGAAGAAGTAAAAGAGTTCCTTAGTACCAAGCCCCACACTCACCACTTGGACACTTCTGAAAATAGGTTGGGAAAGCCGAAATATCCTTTGATTCCCGACAAGGGGAGCAGCATTCCACCCACCGCCTTCCACACTAGTGTCCTCCACCCGTCCATTCACACTCCTGCCTCTGGACCACTTCCTGTTGGCAACATTAGCCACAATCCAAAGATGGCGCAGCCACGAATGGAACCAATGCCAAGTCTCCATGCCAAAAACTATGGCCCACCGGACAGCCAGCACCTGACTCAGGATCGCCTTGGTCAGGAGGCGTACGGCTCTAATCATCACAAAAAGGGTGACCGCAGAGCTGACGGAGATCACTGTGCTTCCGTGACAGGCTTGGCTCCGGAAAGGGGACTTTCTCCCTTGATCTCCTCTTTGCCTTCCCCAATACCCCCTTTGTCACCTGTACATTCCAACCAGCAAACTCTTACCAGAACGCAGGGGAGCAGCAAGGTTCACAGCGGCAACAATAACAGCAAAGGCTACTGCCCGGCCAAATCTCCCAAGGACCTAGCAGTGAAGGTCCATGATAAAGAGGGCCCTGAGGACAGTTTGGTGGCAGTTGCCAGCCTTGGGGTCGCCCCTCCCCAGCCGCCTTCCCAGACGTTTCCACCGCCCTCCCTCCCCTCAAAAAGCGTTGCAATGCAGCAGAAGCCCACGGCTTATGTCCGGCCCATGGACGGTCAAGATCAGGCCCCTAGCGAGTCTCCTGAGCTGAAGCCACTGCCGGAGGACTACCGACAGCAGAGCTTCGAGAAAGCAGACTTGAAAGTGCCTGCCAAAGCCAAGCTCACCAAGCTGAAGATGCCCACTCAGTCAGTCGAGGTGAGTGGAATTTCTTATCTTGGCCAACTCCGACTTGAAGACAGGTCTGAGAGGGAAGTGCCTGGAGGAGGAGGATGGTAGATCCTGGCTTTTGGGGTAGAGGCACTCTTTTTTGATTTTAAGATCCCATGAAAAACTCAAGATCCCACAGCCAAAGGGAAAGATAGATACACCTGTAGAACCTACAACTCAGTCAAGGTAGAGAATATGTTTATTACCGGAAAGTTTCAGAAAGGTTTCGAGCTGTCTTTGTCTCAGGGGATACTGGCTTAATAATGGGAAGGAAAAACCACTTTTGATTAACACTTCCTTGGCCCTAGTTAGTTTGTCCTGAGAGTTAAACCATAAAAAAGTAAAAACAACGGGATAGAATGTTGAAGGCAAAGTCTTTTATTCTTTTTTTTTTTATTATTTTTAAGATTTGTTCCCTATAAATTGTAAGAAACTTTGAAACTAAAGTTCTGTTCTAATTTTTTGTTTACCACCTAACAAAGAAGAGTGGGTGTATCATGACCTCTCATTTGAGAGTGAATCACAACAACTATGGGTTTTAAAAGTAACCCGGATACTATATTTTTTAGGTCAAGAAAATAATTTCTACTCCTTTGACAAATGGCAGCATTATGTTTGAATGAGGAGCATCAGAGCATATATCCTATCACTGAAATTTTAAAATAGTCCGTTTCTCCAAAATTAAGAGGAGTAGTACAAAGTGAAATGTTTGACACAAATTTTAAAACTTATCTGTTAATGGAAATTCTGTGTTTTATTGCATCTATTGTATAAACCTTTTAATTTGCATATCCATTGCTCAAAGATATTTGTGCCTTCCAGATACCAGTGTTACATAATGCCAGAAGGTAAAATTCCTTAGGATTAAAAAACAAAACCAGAAAGATTTTCATCATCCTTACCTGAAAAGATAACCCTTATCTTCAAGGAGGAAAATCTGTTTGTTTCTAGTGTCAGCTTTTTGGTTTAGAAAAGGAGGTTGGGGTTTTGTCCTCAGTTAGCTCTTGAGCTGTGAGAGCCTCCAGATGTCTCCAGAATACGACTTGTTTGGGGGCTGAGGGAAAATGAGAAGGGGGGAGGGAGTAAAGCAAATGGCAGAAATGATCAAGACGGCAGAACTGTACCTTTGACCCTCATTTATGAAGATTCAGTGCAGTGTGCCTTTTTTTTTTTTTTTTTTAAACATTCTGTGCAGTGGTGGAGGTGGGGATAGGGAGCTTCGTGATGGCAGAGTAGAGTGAGGTCCTCCCTCCTCCACACGGTCAGCCAGCCTGCCTTCTAATTCAGACAACAACTTAATGAGGGTTTCTTTGCTTTATTAAATAGGGCTAAATGTATGTTCTTAGTTTGCAGAGGAAGAACAATTTAATATCCTTTCCAGAAAAACTAAAAAAAATGCTTTCAAACAACTTTAAGACAAATTAGCAAGCATATTTGCATTGTCTACCAAACACCCAACCGTGTGGCTAAGTACAAGGAAGTATCGGCGCCTGCCCCAGGAGAGATTACAGTCGATGCCATGAAACAAGTGGGAAACAATTGGACACAAACTGTCTGGTACTGGGTGCTTAGGGTTTCAAATGTGGCCATCAGACAGTGAACCCAAGTCAGTGCAGCCAGTGGGTTGCTTTCCCAGTGGATTGTCTGGGGAGAGGATCCTGGTTAACTTACCGCTGGGGGTGGGTGGGGGAGGGGAAAGAATATAAGCTGAGTTAGGATTTCTCCAAGGTCTTAAAGCCCCTCATATTTAATATACATTTCATACATAGGACTATGTTCGATGGCCTTTGTGTATTTTCTGAGGAACAAAATCCTCCAGAAATTCAGTGATTGGAGAACGGGGCTTTCTTGGCACAAATGCGTCTGCCGTCAACAGTCGAGTAGATGTAAACCTTTCATCTGCCGCCTCTGTTTGCAGTCAGCGTTCCTTTCAACAGGAGGGCTTCCTCTGGTCTCTGCCAGAATCCTCGTGCCAGTGGCAGCTGCCTGGGAGCCCGTGGCACTGTTGGTGGGTGGGAGGGGGGACATGAGGGGTCAGGAGATGGGGGTTCTGGGTGGCCCGTGTGTGGGGGAATTGGGAGCCAGGAGTCTGGAATGAAGGGGGCGTCTGTCTGGGAAGCCAGGGATATTGGTGTTTCTGGCTAAGTTTTGGATTTGATTTAGCTCCTCTAATGAATTTCTCACATTTCACAGATTTAGCATTAATTTTTCTGTTCACACACCCAATAAAATGGATATTTTTTGAAAGATTTTTAAAATATAGGTTGAATTTAAAGTCTCAACTTTTAATATTCTGGTGAACCAACGAACGTCTGGAGACGGGGGACCAAAAAAGCAGGGCATCACCCCAGAGCAGGGGAACTTTGACTATAGACCGGAATATTAGCGATAGCTGGAGTTCTTTTTGCAGTTGGGGTGGAAGGCTGGAGAAGGAGGGGCGGGCGGGGAAGCCGGCTGTTGGTAGAGCTGAGGAAAGGGGGCTGGAGGTAGCCGAGGGGTTTGCCTTCATTTGCTTTTATTGATCCCAAGGCAAGTCTCCTTCCTGGCACTCCTGGTGTAAGGATGGTTGAGTTTTGCGGTTTATTTCATTGCCCCACCTCCCCACTGTTTTTCTGAAATAGAATTTTTTAAAATGAGCCCAAACAGGAAAGTCACCTTTGGGGAGGGGGGTTTCCTTCCAAGTGTGGATTCCTTATTGCTACTCTCATGGGAGATATTCGATTTTATATTTTAGTTGGTACCCTAAAGAATGATATCCTTTTCTGGGAGAAGTCATTCTCGCAGTTAAAACTTTTTTTCCCCCTAAGATCCTAAAGGAAAAAATTATCGAAAGGTCAATATTCTGACTAAATGGAGGCCCGGACCACAAAAATCTGTGCTCGGTTTTCTCGGGGAGCGTCGGTTGTGGTTTCGTGTCAGCTGGAAGACGCGTAGCCGTGTGAGATGGCCAGTCCGAGGGCAGGGCCAGAACCCCAGGGGCCCACGTGGATACCTTCCAGCTGGAGAGTTGTCGCATCAGAGATGACCTGTCCAGTCGGAAGGTTGAGATTTCTGTATATCCCTCTTTTCTGTCTGGAGATAACAAATGAGAGAGAGAAGCCATGGCATTTCCGTGTGAGTGTTCATGAACGTGGACCGTGAGGCTGGGCTTGGGGCGGGGTGCGAAGTGGTGGGGTGCCTAGATACCGGTTTTAGATACAGGATTTATTTTATAGAAGGGCCTTTTATTGAAAAGGAGAAATGGAATAAGCAGAGATGGGTATACCAAATTGTATACCGAATTTAGAATATTAGAATTTTAAAGCTGAACACACAGCCCTTTCATTTTGCAAATAAGGTCTTAAAGGGTGAAGTCACTTCACTTTGCTAAAAGTTGTAGTTAGTATCAGATGCAGAGCTAGAACTGACAGTTCTTTGGTCTGTCTGCTTTGACTTGTGTGGTGGCAAGTGATGGTGTGAGATGTATTTTTGACCGGAAGAGCTGAGCTTTGCCACCCAGACTGAACCTACAGCAGAGCCTTGTGGAACATAGTTGGTTTCATTTCCTGCGTGTGCTTCTCAACTCCAAAGTTTCTTTCATTCTTCCTCCTTTATTTTCTTCCTTATCCATTCAAAAATTGGTATTAAATCCCTACTGTGTGCCAGGCACTGTGTTAGCCCAGAGGAGGCTGCTTTGAAAAGGGTGGTCAGGAAAGGGCCTTTGTGGAGGTGACGTTCACAGACACAGGGAGGATGAACGTGCGTCAGCCACGCAGAGCTCGAGGAGACGCTTCATTTCAGGCAGAGGAAACAAAGACGTGCGAAGGCCCGAGCTGGGAAAGGAATGGCCTGTTAAGAACAGAACTGTGGGCACGGTGGCTGAAGCACTGAGTGGAGGGGAGGATGTGAGATGAGATCTGAGGCCCTGGCAGGAGCGAGACCAGGCAAGGCCTTGGAGGCTGTGGGAAGGCATCTGGGTGCTATTTAAGTGTGAATGGGAACGTTTGAGCTGGGGAGTGACATGTCTACTCTCTCTTTGGAAAGCAGCCCCGCTGGCTCCTAGATGGAGAATGGATTGGAGGGCGGAGGGGGAAGCAGGGAGCCAGTTAGGAGGTGAGAGATTGTGGTGTCTTGGAGAAGCCATGGACATGGTGAGAAGTGGCCAAATTCTGGGTATATTTGGTAGGGAACTGAGGGGGCTTTGTGATTGGAGATGGGAGTGGCCTGAAACGAGGGAAAGCGAGGCATCAAAGAAGGCTGGTAGGTTTTTTTTTTTTTTTTTTTTTTAGACAGAGTCTCACTGTGTTGCCCGGGCTAGAGTGCCGTGGCGTCAGCCTAGCTCACAGCAACCTCAAACTCCTGGGCTCAAGCGATCCTCCTGCCTCAGCCTCCCGAGTAGCTGGGACTACAGGCACGCGCCACCATGCCCGGCTAATTTTTTCTATATATTTTTAGTTGTCCAATTAATTTCTTTCTAATTTTAGTAGAGATGGGATCTCGTCTTGCTCAGGCTGGTCTCGAACTCCTGAGCTCAAACGATCCGCCCGCCTCGGCCTCCCAGAGTGCTAGGATCACAGGCGTGAGCCACTGCGCCCGGCCCCGGTAGGTTTTTTATTTGAAAGGTAAGCATAGTGGAGTGATATGAGCTACTGAGATGGAGACGACCAGGAAAACCAAATTTTGACCGATTTGTGCAAAACAACTGCCCTTTTCCTGTGGTCTCTCGTGACGTCATGCCGGAATGTTTTGTTACCAAATGCTTGCACCTCATTTCCAAGACCCGAGTGTTACCTGCAGCTGTGAATTCACTGTGGGACCACTTTGATTCATGGCAGCCCTTAAGCTGAGCCTTGCATTTTCAATAAACTGCCAGCCTAACCGCTGTGTAGACTAACCCACAGTGGAAAACTGTGATAGTGATTCACTTCGTGTTCACGTGTGCATTCCTTCCTACTTCCATATTTAGCTGTCCTGTTATCTGAAACCTCAAGGAGAAGGACTTCCCTGTT